AAAAACAGCATGGCGTTTTTGGTGGGCGGGGCTTAGCTGGAGGCAAAGCAATTCTCCACAGACATTAGCTAGCAAGCTCCCTTGACTTGTTTTAGACAATGGAGGAAGATGATGTGAGTGGTGCGTTCAAAAACACTCATTCTGAGTGTGGGAGCGCACTCTGACACAAACTGGAGCGTTAATAAATAAAGAGCGCTGTCTGAATGTAGAGTTGGGTTATACAGAGCAGCGCACTCTCAGAGTGGCAGAGCGCACTCTGGACACTGTGTCTGTGGAGACGGAGCAGCAGAGCGCCGAGCGGAGTGAATGTGTGATTAACTTAACCGTTGCATCATTCGTGTAGAAATATAACGCTGCGTTTCTTCCACCAACAGGGCTCTCATTTTAGTGTAGAGCGTCAGACTGAATTTACCAACGCACCATGTCAGGTCACTCACTCTCCGGGACCACCAGTGTTACTTGAATAAGTAAACACTGACCAACGGGACCAGACTGGCCGACCCGTATGCTCTCACTCAGTGGATGGATGATGTCACAGGAAGCCAATCTTACAAAGGAGGACCACACTTGTTTGTTTTGCTATGGAAGCTAACGTTAGCTAATGTGCTAAAAAGTTAGCGTTACAGAGAAATCCAATCTTCCTCTTAATCCCTCCCCAGTTTCTGATGAGGTGGACATGATAACCCTTAATACACATAACCTTATTCATCCCTACAACAGGAAATACTTTTTCCCTAACCTGATATGAAGTGTGCGCTGCACATGTGAGCATTTTTGATGATGGCCTCCGTCCAGTCCTTTGGTCTTATCACATTTAACCATAGTTGTCTTTGTTTTTGTTGACGGGCAGTGGCGACTGGTTTTGAGCCATGACTCCTTCTATTCTGGCTCCCAATAACACAACAAGACAAACACATTTTAACACTCCTATGGAGCCTACAGCCCTGTGGGGGAGAGTCCTGTTTTGCCTCCAGCTAACAAAGTGACGTCATTGTGACATCGGCCCTAAAAGGGTCTACTGTATATACATGGTCATTTTGTGGATGAAGGGTTCCTTTATGGGGTTACAGTATAAGTTAAACTGTTATCCAGCTTCTTCGAAAGTAACACAAAACCAGTGGTGGAACAAACACAACAAAGAGGCAGGTCGCACAAGGTCAACAAGAAGCAGATACAGTGAGGTGGAGATGAAGAGCTGCAGGCGACAAACTGGTGCTGCAGCTTAGCTGAACTCAAACTTATCTCCAAACATTCCTGTCACATAAAAAACACTAGACTGTAGCTCTGATTATCTGATGGCTCATTATATGATTAATATGCTTCACATCCTGATATCAATGAGCATATTTTTCCAATATTGCTTTATATCACAAGATCACATCAAATATAGGCTTCCATTGCTATGAGACTGTCACAGCATGATAACTGTCTCAGAAAATATTGTGGTTTCGTAGTATCACAGTATTACATCATTTTTATTATGAATGAAACTGAAGGATTATTTTTGGTTGGACAAATAATTTATTACTTTCATTGAAACCATTTTAAAATGGAAGTATGTGTTAAAAGTTATTTTAAAAAATAGCTTAAATAAAGATGAGAATCACCGTCCAGCTGCATTTTTTGTTTCAATATCGTAGATTAGCAAATGTACAAGGTATGATAATCGTTAAGTTTCATATCACGGTATACCTTAAAACCAGTATACGGCTGCAGCAAGAGTCAAATGTAAGATCACAAACCAAATAATCAAACTAATGTTCAAATCAATTAACTGACCTTTCCTTTTAGTCTGGCGCTCCACTGACTCCGTGAGCTTTAGCGCCACATTCTGAATGCTATTCATTCAGACGTGGTGAAATTATAATTGTTCGTGATTTATGTGTCTTGACTTTTTTTTATTTTCTGTTGGCTTTGCTGACAGACAGCTGGAAAGCCGTGTTTACATCCATTACATCATAGTGCCCAGGGCCTACCCTCCAGTGTCCACTACTTAGCTAACGTTAGCCTTAGCTGCTCTGCCCTGTGCACCACCTGGGTCAGGTGGGAGCTAGCTAGCGGCACTACTCATTCGGTGAGTGGGACGGCGTTGCTGGGGAAACATGGGGGCCGCTCTCAGGTCTCCCCCGCAGAGCCATGGTAAGAAAGCAGCTTCATTTTGAGCCTTAAAACCCCCTTTAGCATTGTTAGCTATGTTAGCACCACTCCAGCTGTGCTGACACTGCTAACAGAGATTACAGTAGATAACAAAGCTAACAGAGGTTTGCGGGTCAAAATACAGCTGCTTACTCTTTGTGGAAACTGGAGGGTGGGCACAAGGTTTCCAAAGCAACCATGCTTGGTTAGTACAGTGATACTAGCAGTAATCGCTGAATGAATCAGCTAGCTAACTTCCTTTGTGTTGGGAAAATGTAACCACATGCGTTTGTTGTTGAAGGAAAAAAACATCAATTTGCGGTGTTGTACCGACGTAGTGCTTTTATTTTGAAAGACAGCAAATGCAAACGCTAACTTTCCTGTGAAAACCGCGGTGTATTTTTAAAAGACACAATGCATGTAACAGGCAGAAGTTGACAGGGTGTCCAAGAATGTTAACAACCAACACACCCAGGGTACCTTGCACAAGGTTAACCATTGACATCCCCATTCACAACCCAAATATTTAGCTTACTGTCACAGAGGAACAAAGAAACAGGAAATATTCACATTAAATGAGCTGAAATCAGATTATTTTGACTTTTTTTACTTTTAAGATGACTCAAATTAATTCGTCACAGTTGGTGACTGATTTAATAGTAGATAACTAATCAATCAATCATTGCAGCTCGACTGAGAAGCATTAGTTTGGTCAGACGAGAACACGACATGATTGTACCATCCTAATATGAACAGGTACAGCACAGGTATCTCAACTAGAAATGCCACAAAATGGTGAACAGTGTCTCTCACGCATTCCCAGAGTCCAAATCAATGTCTTCAGATGTAATTTTGTTCAATAGCAATCCTTTTTGGTACCGACTAAATTACGCAGTAGCTTCATTTAACATTCTGTCCCTGCAGCCCCTGACCTGAGCAGAACAGAACATTTTAATCTGGATCGGTCACGTCCACACAGGCGACCTGATCCACTTAATAAGGTCAATATTAGACCCAATACTAATGCAGTGAAGTAGATCGGAGGACATCTCATCTCAACTGGGTGGAAAATTTAATAAAAACACTGACTGTTTGTTCTCAGATCTGCTTCCTGTCACAGTTTGCCCTCCGATGACTTTTCCTCCGCAGATAAATCCACTCCTGCCGATGAGCCGTTATCCTGGGTGTTATATTGATTCCTCCTTCCTGCAGCGATCCAGTGCAGTCTGCTGGGCGAGAGTCGAGGGATTCAAACTGGCAACTCACCACGCACAGACACGCCTACTGCCACCTCCCACCAGGGAGTACTGCTACATGTGAAACTCCACTTCCTCTGCGAGACGAGAAGTCGATGCCACATTCTTCAGGCCTTTTAATGAATTCACACTCTGTTTATCTATGAATCAGCGCAGGGAGAAACAGGACTTCCATCATGAGTTGGAGTGAAAATTAATACTCGGGAAGAGGCCGATTCCTCCTGCTGGATCTCAAGTTTCTGTCTCATTAATGTGACATGGGTTTAATCTTCTGAACTTACACTTGTGCGCAAATAAACTCCCACGTCTGCCTTCTGTCAGAGCAGATTCATCACTCAGAGGCACGCGTACGCTGAATGAAAACGCTTGTCTGCATATTGAAATTAAACACCACGAGACGCTCATTAACAAGCCTCCCGGTGGGACAGAAGAACATGGGGGGTTCTCCAGTGGGATACTAGCGTCCCTGTTTGTTTTTATCAGTGAGAGCTCGCAGGTCCAGGCTGCCCTCCAGCACAGCAGAAACGCATTCATCTGAATCTAACGTGGACAAACCAGTGGAGAGCAATTCACCAAATCAGCTGAATGGCTTCTGAATGTGGTGCAGCCAAGGATGACTTCAGTGCATCCTGCAATCTAATGCATGGACTCCAGAAAATAAAATCCACACAACAGCTTTAGACTGAATGCACAGCCGTGTGTGGCTTTGGCTAAGTAGAAAATAAAGGTGACTTTAACAGAACTACCCTCATGTAGCATGAAGGTTCTTAAAGTAAACCCAGTGAAGCAACTTTCATGTTGCAGGACATTTTAAGGAGAAGAATCCCATCAAGTGTCAGTTTACATGTGTTTAGTTGTTTGCATTTTAAGGCTTATGGCACAAATAATGAGCTTATAGTAAATACAGTGGATTTTTAGAGAAAGTGAATTTGAGTTAAACGTTTTTGTAATGGTGATGGTTTACTGATGGTATCTTAACCCATTTTCTTATTTGGTAAGAGGTGCATGTACAATAATGAGTTAATGTTGGTGTCACAGGGTAGTTGGTTCTTTTCCAAGGCAATTTAAAAAACTGCAAAATGCATACATGTGCTGAGAAACCCTGATACTCTCAATTCAACCGAGTGTCTTTACCACCACAATTACCAAACAATTTAAGGTTGACATGAGGCGAATCGAGCAAATACACACTGCACAAACCACTAAAAGAGCTTACATTACACAAGTCAGTTGGATGTTAAATTCGGCCTTCATTTCATACAATATGTGGCGCTTGTTTGAGAGATATTTGAAATTTAACGGTTGGATTAAAGCGGTGGACGGCGCCCTACAAGCAGCGTTTTGGAACGACAACACCGTGGAAGCAACAGGAGAATCGAAAAGAAAAGAAACTATTTTGTTAAAATGAGTGACTCATGACAAATTAAATGTTTGCCGAATTAATTAGTAGTTACTTATGATTCCGAAAACATTACAAGTTTTGTTGTTTGTCTTAAGCATTTTGTGGGTTGAGAGAGACAGCTTTAATTTGATAGATTTCTAATGGAGGTTAGCCAGCAGGTCGCTTCCTACCAGACAACAGGTGCATGTAGTTCGGCTCAGACTCACCTTCTGCTGCCGCCGGGCCATGTCGGTGGGCTGCTTGGCGTTGAACGGGTAGGCGATGCACCGCAGGACGAACACATAAATCTGCAGTTTAATTTTCCTCTCCTCTTCCTCCTTCTGGATCCGCTCGCGCTCCTTCTTCTCCTCCTCCTCTTCACCTGTGGCGTTGCCTTCTTTAGCACCTTTACCGGGTGCACCTCCAGGTGCGGCGGACTGCCGCCGCTGGCCGCTCGCCCGGCTGCTGCTCCCGCGTTTCCCCGCCGAGGAGGCAGCTGGTTTCCTGGGAGTCTCCTGGACAACTTCTGGGTCGGACTCCCCGCCGGTGTCTTCGCTGGAGGACGGGTCCAGCATGGTGTCACGGCGGTGAAACTCCGGTTCGACAGATCAAAAGAAAGACGGGAACAACTGTTAAAGCTTTAGTTTGTTTGTTTTAGTCGACGTGGCGTTAACGGCTGCACTTCACCGACCGCCGGTCCGTCCCCGCTGCGGCCGCTGGTGTTCAGACCTGCGACCCGAGAGCAACGTCGGTGTGTTTCCAGGGGGCGGGGCGGGGGAGTGCTAACGTTAATATTTGGAGGTTGTGGCCGCGTGCGCTTCGTTCCGTCGCACCGGGGATGTGAGTGCTGGAATGGCAGCGCGCGCCCGCTGCCTCTGGCTGCTGCTGCACGGAGCTCGCGCGCTCTGAGACTGAGCGCTCCAGCACACAGGTGAGCAACCTGTAGCTGCAGCCAGAGAGGGGAACTGCAGAGAGAGGTCTCACTCTGCCGCTGTTTCAAAAAACACAAAACTCACTGAACACTGAGTCTTCTTTTTATTTCATGCTGCACACAAAAATGTTCTGTGTGGAGCCACAGAACATTTTGAGCCTTATAATTAATAATAAGCTACAGACAAACTCTACAGAGGGCTATTCATGATTTTTGGTACTTTAACTACGCTATAATTCACTATTTTCCTCAAAAACTTTTAATATTTCGGATTCCAAACCCTAGCTGGGACATGAAAGACGAGCCAACACTGTTGAGGGTCGGCAACATTTAGAGGTAAAGGGCCCAGACTGCACACAGATGACGCACGTTTTAGTTGATGAAATGTTAAATTATTATATTTTTGGTGCTGAGGCTGCACAGTTCTACAATTGGAGAATGCGAGAACTTCTTTAGGCCTACAACAACAAATATAAATTAAAATTAAAGTGTTAAAAAAAAACGTCAGTCATTTCCATGTGATTTTTTTATTTTTTTGTCAAAACCACCAGGAGCCACAGGTTGCTTACTCCTGAGTTAAATAGTAAAAAAAAAAATTTTAAAAAAATGGAAAAGTTCTACACTCTGGTATTGTTAATGTAGGCTAACATTTTGAATGCAGAGGTACCACATTACAAGTTAAAGTCCTGCATCCAAAATATGGTTTAAATGCTAATGTGTAGGATTTAGGTGATATATTGGCGGAAATTGAATGTAATATAATAAGTATGTTTTCTTTAGTGTATAATCACCTGAAAATATGAATCACTGTGTTTTTGATACCTTAGAACGAGCTGCAGTAAGCAAGCAAATAAGCAATAGTTTCGTGTTTCAAGGAATACTGGAGTTAAAAATCATAAAACTTTAAAAGCCTAGACCCAATTAAATGCCCAGTCTCTTTTACCAGCCTGGTATGGCTGCACATTTTAACAAATAAAGGCCTGTCTCCATTAGAAGCCTGGGATCTCATTTATAAACATTGCATACGCACAAAACGAAGCCTGAAAGAGGCATTCGCCACTTACCACGCAAAAGATGTGATCCATAGAAACAGACTTGATGGGACAAACTTTGACCCATGCTTATGAACATTTTGGAGACGGGAAATTGGCAACACAGATGGTGAGGTGGAAGAGTGATGGTAGAAACTGAAGGTTTTTTTGGCACATGCCATTTTTGGTTGCCAAGCAGTTTTACAGAAGTTCTTGATGAAGATGTATAAAACCGGGTTGTTGGCTCCACACTGAAGCTAACATTAGAGAGCACAGACAGAGCACACCTCTTCGCCCCTCCATGCGCCTACATGGAAAGCCTAAAGGTTCATTCTCACTGCCGTGATACGGAAATGCAGGACGGATTTGCGGAATATTCGCGCAGCGCCTTTCCGCGCTCAAACCATACACACAGGCATGGTACGGACGCGGTGCGGAATTTCGCGCTGTTGTGTTCCAAGTCTGCGCTGCGTGAACAGGTGCAGATGAACATGGACAAGAGTAGTAGCAGCAGCAGCAGCGAGCTAGCAAGCTAACGTTCAACAAGCGTCAACATCAACTTTCTTTAGCACTTACCACTCTCACTGCAGCCACCAAGCTGGACAGTGGACTGCCAGACGTTGTCCTTTAATTCATTGTTCATAAAATCATCCCGTCTGTTATCAAAAAGGACGGGGTGCTGTGAAATGAGGTTTATCAACCTTTCTCCCATACTGTCCTGCCTGACTGGATTTCAGACTCTCCCGGGTCTGCGCGACTATAAACAAACAGTTTCATTGGCCCAGCTGTGTAGTTCCGCCGGCGAATTCCGCTGGGGGTCAAAGTCTGGGCGGAAACTTTTTTCACAGTACGAAAGTTCCGCCCCAGTGTGCAAACTTCCATAAGAACCCATGAAATCAACTTTTATATTTTTCCGTGTGAATAATCCGCACGGATATTCGCCCTCAGTGAGAATGGACTTTAAGGCAGAGGAAGCACACCTCTCTGCCCCTCCATGCACCTACATGGAAAGCCTAAGCCAGAGGAAGCGCACCTCTCAGCCCCTCCATGCGCCTACATGGAAAGCCTAAGGCAGAGGAAGCACACCTCTCCGCTCCTCCATGCGCCTACATGGAAAGCCTAAGACAGAGGAAACACATCTCTCTGCCCCTCCATGCGCCTACATGGAAACCCTAAGACAGAGGAAGCACACCTCTCTGCCCTTCCATGCACCTATAGGGAAAGCCTAAGGCAGAGGAAGCACATCTCCCTGCCCCTCCATGTGCCTACAGGGAAAGCCTAAGACAGAGGAAACACACCTCTCTGCCCTTCCATGTGCCTATAGGGAAAGCCTAAGGCAGGGAGAACAGTAGCAAAGTCCCCCCTGCTTGAGATCAGCTGATGTAGCTGGATGTGAGCTGAGCTTGACATCGTGTCCTGCCTGAACTAACACATTGCTCAATTAAACATAAAGCTGCAGTCAACAGTTGCCTTGCTTAGCGACTGGAAACAGGGGAATTAGTTCGCTTGGCTCTGTCCTGCATGACACAATCCACCTACCAGCACCTCTAAAGCAAATTAACACACTATATTTCGTTGTTTCGTCCTTACGAAAACCAAACCATAAGAATAACAAGTTGGGTGCTTGTCCCCACTGTATTTCCACTTCCTGTGCCAAGCTTTTTTTCCCCGATTGTGTGATACCTCTTCTTTCATAGACAATCTTTGACTAGAAATACAAAGCAACATGTGTTCAACTCACACTCAACCAGAGAGCTGGAACACAGACACATTTAAAGATGTCAGGCCTCACAGTGAAAATATCAGAGGCAATATAAATAAGGCTTTTATCAGTACTAACAAACAATACATGCAGGCACTCCATCCCATAATTTAAACACCAACAACACAATTTCACAAACCTGGAAACAGTCAGATCTGCAGACTTTTAAACAACAGTTCAGGAAGCACAATTTATGGACAAACTAAACATAAAACAAATATCAAAGAGGACATTTTGGGAAGGTGGAAACTGATTTATTAAGAATAAGACTGATGATACTTCCTTTGCCTACTCTTTGAAACCGTCCAAACGATGCTCAATTTGCTGCATTTCCTTTTTATTTATTTATTTGCTGTCATTGTAAAGACACATGTAAAGGAGGGAAATGTTCACACATGCGTATGAATGTAACATTGATATATGATTCAAAAATAAAGATTTATAACATATCAATGTCTGAGTGTGAGCAGCCTGTGTATGTACATGTTTCTTTTTCTTATTATTTTCTAGAACGTACAAACATCCTAGGGTTAGAAATTAAAGTATAAAAATGGAAATCATGTATATAAATTCCAAAATATTACCCATGAATATTAATGAGAGTAAATAAAACCGTTCAGCCTCCAAATTACAGCCTCCAACTTTACGATCAAGTTGAATCGACACTTCTCTGAAACAGTTTCAAAAACTTCAGTAAATTGCTTTGTTGCTGCACTAACATGAGTTTTATTTAGGTGTTTATATTTATACTGTTTATTTAGACAGTTTATGTAAACAGTTTGTGTTTAGAGGCTGTAATTAGACACGGAGGCAGAGAAGCACCTTTCATGGCAGTATGATCCCCCACTGGTTGATGGCAATTTGTAACACCACCGGCAACTAACGTTATATAAAGAGCAAGTAAGCCCATATAGAGCCAGCTGTTTGATTCTGCATGAATTTTAAGTTAAACCATGATGTTTTTTTCTTTTTCATAACAGAGTGCTTTGTTGCCTGAACCCAAGGAAATCAACCTAAAAGCTAAGTATTTAAATAAAAGACATGTAATGAGCATATATTGTACATTTCCTGTAAAAATGGAAGTGTAACAAAAGACAAAATGCATCTAAGTGTACACTGACACACTGCAGGAGAACGTTGAGTTGAGTTGGGATGAAAACATGTTGGTTTTACAGCTCTTGTAAATTCCTAAAAAATGACAAAACATCAAAACAAAGAAACAAAAAATAACAGATCAATTAAAGAAATTATTATCTCTGGCAATCTATAATAAATGTATATACTAACATAAAATCTAACATGATTAAAAGTTAGTATCGTCAGCAAAAGTCAGACAAAATAAGACAGTCGTGGCTGACATGTTAGCAAACAGCTGCCTACATCCACGTCCACCTGATGAATTCAAATCCAATATTCACTCGCCTTTTAGCTCTGTTTTGGTCTCTACCAACTCCTGAAGTAAATATCTGTCTTTATAGCTGCTAAATGTTCAACTTTCTTCACAGTCTCTGGCTGTGTCTGTCTGGTGTTTGGTGTTGGGCAGCTGGTGCACAGTGGGTTTATTAGAACTCGTCTGCTTGAAACATTGAGACTGAACCAGACAGAAAATGTGCTGCAAAACCAAAACTAGGAGCTAAAAGAGGCTAACAAGCTCAGTTGAGCTGCAGAGATGGTGACAAGTCTCTGTGGATTCATCACCATAAGTAACACTTTTCACATTTGACAATAAAGAGTATCAATCCAACAACCACCTCTCTGTGCCACGGCCTGCTTAGAGCACCTTCAGAGGTCCCTGAGCTTCACACTGTGATCCATGCTTGGGCACCAATCATCACGGTGCTGTGGAGTTGAACCCGGGCAGGACCGGCGCCCAGTCAGGATACGTATCCAGGGAAAATAATGGAACACCCCATGTCGCCACAGCCAACAGGGCAGTAAGGACGCCGATCACGTTGACGCCAAGCCCCGCCTTCACCTGCAGCAGCGATCAGACATGGAAGTTATTTCAATATGCATAATTAAATTTAATGCTGAATGTTTGTACATAACAGCAGGTTGTGTTGGAGGAAATTACATCTGCTTTTTGTTAACAAACCTGTTTCTGTGTTTGTACCACAGGACCTACCATGTCCACGATGTTGATGTGTCCGTAGGCGAATACAACAGCGTTGGGCGGGTTGGACACCGGCAGCAGGAAGGAGAAGGATGTGCAGAGGGTGGTGGGGATCAGGACGTACAGCGGGTTGACGTGGATGGCCTCAGCCTGAAGACAGACGGATCACATTAACAAAACCATCTGTCTGATTCTTCAACGCTCAACAATGTCTGTGATCAAAGTAGGAATGTCATTCATCATCTTGGAATTAAAGGTTCGATCAACCATCTTTCTCAAACTTGAGTTCGTCATACATTCTTATTCTGTGACAACTTATTAACATTATGTGAGGTGTTTTTTAAAGTTACACACATTTTTGGACTTTTTATTTAGAAAACAAAAAGGTTCTATCTCCAAAATCAAACTCTAACTTGGTTTTATAGAGTTTAATCTGTGAGCCAATCAGCACTGAGACTAACTCAAAGCCCTTCCCTCCGGTCGCCACTTGTTAGCTTGTCTTGTGCTCTGCATTGCGCACCAGCTGTGTCTGGTGGGAGATAGCTAACAGAGCTCATATTCTCACGGCAGCATTTACAAGAGGACCAGATCAAATGCCTTGTGTGAGAAAGCTGCTCTTGATTGGTCAGAATTTCCATGTGGGAAAAATCCAGGAAGTAAAGCAAACGTTGAAGAAGAGTACACTTGCAAGATAAATGTGACACTTTCTAATGTCACAATGGAGGGACAACTACGCAGGTTGATTTTAGCGCTGCTCATCGTGGACTATATTGCTGTCATTGTTCATTTTAGTCAAACCATACAGTTTGAAAACGAGGCGCGGCTCCAACTAGAAAACAATGTTTTGATGCATTGGGAGAGACCACCTCTTCAAGAAGGTCTCGGTCCGGTTGTTTTGCTGTGTTCACACCTGAGTGTGATTGCTGTGTTCACACCTGCCCAAATGAACCGCACTGAGGGGGCAAACGAACTTGAGTTTGACTGAACTGAACCAAACAGGGCAGGTGTGAGAGCAGCCTCAGTCAATGGAGCACCAGATCAAAAGGAAAGGCCTCTTGTGTTTCATATCATTTAATGTTTTCTTTTCTTTTTTTTCTTAAAAATTAACAAAATTACCGACCTGACATCTCTCATACAGAGAATATGTAGAATCAGGCGTGTTACAGCAGCTGTTTGTAGTCTAACCCAAAGAAAGACTAAACTAGTCCAATGGTCCAATAAGAAAACTAAGATTTGTTCAACAAGAAATATCTTAAAAACATCATAAAAGGCATTAAATTAAACTTTCTCGTGCACGCAGACACTCTGTTACACTAATTTTATGTTTTAAAACAAGTTCTAAGTAAACTGTATTCCTTGAAAATCATTCCTTCTTTTCATGATTTGTGAGATCGAACCTCATAACTCTGAGCATTGGACTCCTCTGTAAAATCTCCATTTATGAAACTGACAAGATTTTGATATTTTACACTTAGAATAACTTTAGGGCATCTGCCATTTCTGTGTATGAAAGAGAGTGGTTCCACAGTATAATTTTTGCTATTTGGAAAAACTCTGAAGCTCAGTATCTCAAAACCGTTCAGAACGCAGACAGAACTTATAATTCTAAGGTGGCGCTTCGTCTGTTTGTCCATCTGACTTTCATGCACGACAGTTTGAACACTGGTCATCATCCCTTCATTCTTCACACCTACTGTAAAAACAAATAAACAAAGAATATGACTATCATGAGAAAATATCCGTCTCAGGGAGGAGGACCCGCAGGACTCTAAAAGTGAAGTATACAATAACAGTAATGTTTTCAACAAACAAGATGAGCCACAGGTCGATACTTTCATCTTTCAGATGACGACGGAGTCATGATATCAGAAAATCATCTGTTGGTAACTGACGGCATTTAAAAGTATTAAAAAACAAAAACACAGAGAACGTACCAGAGGAGAGAGGATGGGGAGGAAGATCGTAATGGTGGCGGCGTTACTGGCCACCTCTGTTACCGTGGTGACGATGAGGCAGGCGACCGTGATCGTGGCCAACACTGGCAGATCACCCAGAGGTGTCAGCAGCTCGGCCACCCACAGAGACAGGCCTGACTCCTGCAGACGCACACACACATCATGACGTTATGGCTGGTTGAAGCAGACTAAAGGGTCAGTTCACCCAAATTACAAATAGCCATCTTTCTGTTAGTGCCCCTTTCATATCTGCAGTTTATCCCAGAAATGTTCAGGAACATTTCCTGCATGAGGTCATGTGTGAATCGGAGCAGGAATCGATATTCAGGGAAATCTTTACTGCTTATTTTCAACGTCAAGACCTAAAAAAATCAGGAAAATGACAGTACGGCTGTGCTGCTGTTGAGGCAGTGTCGGCAGATACTCCATCAGGGGCAAAAAACCTCGTCAGGACATCCCTAGTTTTCACTGCGGCTACTATCAACCAGAAATAAATCTAACTTTTTTACCTTCAGACTGTTTGCCCTTCTTAACAGTCGCCATGATGAGCTATAAACTGGCTGCTGGCTGTAGCTTCATGACAGTGTGACTGGTCTCCTGATCGAACTCTCAGCAAAATGTCAACTTATTCCTTTGTTGCAGTAAAAGTGATGCCTCCTTTTGAAACACATTTTTTCTCCTTTCTTAGTGAAATCTGTGCAAAATCCAGAATCAGATTACATCTCCAAGTTTTTAATGATGAACTACTGTGAATGTATGAAGTGTATGTTTGACACTGAGAGACACAGCTTACCTTTGTGCCTTCAGCGAGTGCAAAGCCTCCGCCGACCAGCAGGGCCACTTTCCACGGCATGGAGGCCTGAAACTCCTTCCAGGAGATCATGGCCTCTGGATGAAGAGAGAGGAGAGAATACATCCTGTTCACATGTTTAAAGACGGATAAAAGTTGTCTCTCCACAGACTGAACCCTGGTTATCAGCTGGCACAGTCACCAACAGTTATAACATGCTCAGAGGGTAAAATCAGACGTGACACACAGCTGCAGTTGAGTAAAAAAGAATTTAAAGTAAATTACAAGTACCTCAAAACATTATTTTTGTGAAGTACTTGAGAAAATGTACTTAGTTACATTGCACGTCTGGATGTGGATGCTTCACTAACCTACCAATCACAGATCATCGGTAACGTCTTGTGTATGTACCGTATTTCTTGGAGGGTCCGTAGGCAGGTATGATGAAGAAGAGGAGGCCCAGCAGCAGAGCCACAGTGGCGTCAGTGATGTAACCTGAGTGACTGAGTGAGACGAGGACAGAAAACATAAAGTCAACAACCAAGAACATGTCGGTCCATATAAACACTTTCTGGCTTCCCTACTCGACCCTTTCAGGTCCTGAAGGTGTGACTATTTAAAATACAAATACAAATTTTTGTATTTCCTAAAACAGCTGCTCAGTAAACAACAGGAGGACATAGTACATTTGTTAGGGACTATATCCAGCGGCGGATTGATCCACATTTGGTGGCAGCAGCACGGTGTGAACAAACCACAGATAAATAAAAGAGTAAAGTGACTCACTGAGGGAAGAGAGACGTCCAGCCCGGCATGAAACCTGGAGACCTGGTCAACCACAACAACACCATCAGCAGGAAAATCACCCCGGTGACCATCTCCTGAGAACTGAATGGATAAATGAATGAATGAATGAATGACAGGGTGGATAAAAAGATGGCTGGATGGATCGATATCTAAATTAGAGAATCAGTGTAAGAAGATGATGATGGATGAATAACTGAAAAGGAATTAACAGACAAATGAACAAATTAATGAATTAATAAGCATACAATTGAATGAATAAATGAATGAATGACTGGATGATTGAATTAACATAGAAATTAATTATTGAACACACAACTGAATGAATGCATAAATAAATTGATAGATGGATTTATAAATAAATGAATACATAAATGGACATACGACAGTGTGAATACATTAATGGATGAAAGAATATACAGTATAACTAAATAAATGAATGAATGAATGAATGAATGACTAAATGGATGGGTGGATGAATGCATGAATGGACATATAAATGAATGAATGAATGAATAAATCAGTGAATAAACATATAACTGAATAAATGATTACCGTAACATGATAGGCCAAACACATGACTGAATGAATGAGTGAACACAATTGTAATAAGTATTGAATTAACAAATGAACAAATTGAATTAACAACAAACATGTCATTGTATAAATGACTAAATGAACATGACAGATTGAATAAATGAATGAATGCCTGAATATGTTACTGACCAATACAATGATTTAATGTATAAGTGAATGAATAATGAATTTATGATTCACTGACTGCTAGAATGAATGAATGTATGAGTGAATGACTGAATGACTGAATGAATGAACATATAACTGAATAAATGCATAAATTAATCAACATGATTGCAATAAAAAAAGTGAATGAATGAATGTAAGTGACTGACAGAATGTATGAATGTATGAATAACTGTTCAAATATATAACTGAAAATATCAATGAATAAGTGAACATATAAATGACTGAGAGAAGGTATGAATGGATGTATGAGTGAATAAACATATACCTGGAGAAATGACTCAATGAACATATGACAGCATTAATTAATAGATGAATGAACATATAAATGTAAGAGTGAATAAATAAACATATAACTGATTGACTTGAGGGGTGAATACATGAATGAACACACCAGTTAATGTGTGAATGTGAACATATAACACAATATAAATGATATAACTGAATAAATCAATTAATGAGTAAGTGAATAGACATAGAGATGAATAAATGAATGAATTCATAAATTACTTAACATAGGATTGAAGAGGTAAATGAATGAACAGATGAATTTATTCATGAATGACTTAATCAACGTAAATGAATATATATACATAAAATATATAAAACATAAGTAAAAGGTGGATGGATGAATTAATGTATGAGTGAATTAACATTTAATTGATTAATAAGTAAATGAGAACATAACTGACTGGCAATAAATGTATGAGTGAATAAGGAACATTTACATTAACTCATAACTGATTGAACTTACAACTGAATAACTGGATAACTGAATGAATGAATGAATGAATGAATGAATAGATAAATTAATGGAAAAATTAATAGATAGGAATTGACTAACTGACTGACTGACTGACTGACTGATTGACTGAATGAATGAATGAATGAATGAATGAATGAATGAATGATCACCTCATGGGTCCCAGCGTCCTGTATTCTTCTTCTATGACTTCTCTTGCTGCTTTCTCTTTGTCACACTGCTCTCCTCCACGTCTCCACAGGAACCTGAAACTGTGTGTGTGTGTGTTTGTGTGTGTGTGTGTGTGTATGTTGAGTGCACACAGACATATTATATTGTTGATAGGTAACATTAAATCAGATGATTGACTATGATTGGTTAAAGCACACTCAGAGAACACGGTGCTGACTGAGTAATGAATGAATGAGTGAGCCTGAGCGAAGGTCGGCAGCGCTCACAATTAACCTGTCTGACACCATCACATGGCTGATACTAACATTAGCATTACGCTCACACCTCTCAGCCTCAGGTTGTATTAAAATGAAAGCAGGTTTCATGGAGTTCTGAGATGACATCAAATGTTTATTAAATCCAAACTGAATTATTCACATATTCAGCGTCTTTGATTCACTCATGTAACTCACTTGTTCTTTAAAGTTGAAGCAATGTTAAAATTGAATTCTGATAAGAAATCAGAAATGTAATGTACTTTTTTAATTATTATCATTATTATTAGTGTTACTCAATCAATCAAACTTTATGTATATAGCGCCTTTAAAACAAGTAAAAATTACAGAATTTTAATAAAACAAAATAGAATTTAAAAAAACAGCAACCAACAATGAAAGTTTGACAAAAACAAAAAAGAGGAAAAAAAGGAATAAATTAATAAATAATAATATTGATGAAAAAAATAAGTATAAACACATAATGAAACTTTAAAATTGTGAAACACTACATAAAAACCAGACTAAATAAATGGGTTTGGAGTTGATGTATAACGATATCAATAATTTGTAGCTCCTCTCAGATCCTCTAGAAGGTCGTTGCAGCAGCTCAGAACAACAGCTGAAAGCAGCATCGCCTAATGTTTCTGTTCTGCCTTGTGAAGAGATGAACTGCAGTCTGGTGCATGGCCATGTACTGTCTTATGAACTGATGTTGAGACTTTAAAACAGGTGTAATGTGTGAATTAAGTGTAGCTGATTTATTGTATTCCTCCGTAGACCAGAAAGGAGAGCGCTACATTAGTCCAGCCTGCTGGTTATAAAAGTGTGCATTAGCATCTCTGTGTCGCTCACAGAGAGAAATATTATTGTCCTCGGTGTGTATACACTTCACCACCCTTTATCAAGGAGGAGGTAAGCATTCAATGTCTGCCATTAAGCATATTAACTATTTTCTTCGTTGTTCTTCACTGAGCTTGCTCTCTGTGCTCACTCCATCTCAAAACTACAGTCACTGGCTACATTGATATGCACAAATATTCTGGTTTTTGCACTTATTCTGAAAAAGACAATATTCCTACTCAGCTGTTTACATGTGTAATGAAAATAATCATCACACTAATGCTCCTGTTTACATGCAGCTGTGCACACTCTGATTAACGTGCCCTTACAGTACATGTCATTTATCACATCTAAATATGATAAAGTGGAACAGCTGGAGCACCTTGTCATTTTGTTTCGTACCATCAATTTCTTTCCATTTTTAAAGGTTTTTTCAAAGTGGACTTGTTTAACCGCACCAACACTGCCTCCCTTTTTCATTCCTTGAACCGCCTTGTGGAAAAGGTCGGCGTTCCAATATTTGCACATATTCAAAAACCTGTTGATATCAAAGTCTTCTACAATGTTTAAAAGCTGGTGTGTTTCTTCTTGGGATCAGAAATGTGGACATTTCTTTTGGGCATAGATTTCTTTACCAGCCTTGCAAACTGCTGGTGTGTTGGTTTGTGTGCAACGTATCTGTGACGACGCACAGAGCACTGAATATATGCCCAACTAATGCTATTAAAAGTAAACAATACTGGCATTTCACACATCTAAATCAGAAAATGACACATACGGAAAAAGGCCTAATCTGAAATATCCAAATGGAATATGTTGTTTACACGACGCATATCAAATTCAGAATATTATCATATTCAAATAACAGTGGAATATTAGTGTGCATGTAAATGTAGCCTTTGTTTAAAGTTTAAAAGTTAAAAGTAAGTTTAAAGGGATAGTGCACCCAAAAATGAAAATTCAGCCATTATCTGAAGTTTTAGAGTCCTCACATCCCTTGCAGAGATCCAAGGGGAGAGGAGGTAGCAACACAACTCCACCTAATGGAGGCTGACGGCGCCCCAGATTCAAACGTCCAAAAACACATAATTGAAACCACAAAATATCTCCATACTGCTCGTCCGTAGTGATCCAAGTGTCCTGAAGCCCCGACATAAAAAGTTGTTTGGAAAAACCTCATTTGAACTCTGTTTTTAGCCTCATTATAGCCTGTAGCTCTAATGTCGGGGCTTCAGGACACTTGGATCACTACGGACGAGCAGTATGGAGATATTTTGTGCTTTCAATTATGTGTTTTTGGACGTTTGAATCTGGGGCGCCGTCAGCCTCCATTAGGTGGAGTTGTGTTGCTACCTCCTCTCCCCTTGGATCTCCGCAAGTGATGTGAGGACTCTAAAACTTCACCTGAGCCTCCCTCGGCATATGGGTGAGTAGATAATGGCTGAATTTACATTTTTGGGTGCACTATGCCTTTAAAGTTGATAAGAAGACATTTACGAAGGACTAAAGCCCCGATCACACAGAAAGCATTCTGCAGGTTGCAAAACATGAGGCGCACCACACTGCCTTTTTTTTTTTTTTAAATTGAATGCCGCTAGTAAAAAAGAAATGCTTGCTTGTTTGTTGGGCAAAGGGAAACCTAAAAGATGCTAAAAAAGAGGCTGGATCATGGGGAGTACCACCAGTTGGTCCAGGAGCTTCTCCTCCATCATGGACGTTTACAGGCAGATTTTAGGATGACTCAGGGGCAGTTTGACAACCTGCTGTCTATCATCAGGCCGTATAGCTCTGGGTATCCAGCAACCACTACCACCAGTTTCTCCTCCATTGTTTACCAACTGTAAACTTGTTGTCGTGACCACCACAGAAGGCCCGCCTCTCAAATCATCTGATTGGACAATGGGAGAAGTTGAAGAGTTGAAGTTTTTCCAACTCCAGGAGTTCAAAGTTCTTCAGCAGAAACGCCACACATGAGGTGTGTAGCAACACAAAAAGCTTCATTCTCATAAAAAACAATTACTAAAAACCACCTCCAGCTGCTGAAACACTTTCTGTGTGATCGGGGCCTACATTAATGAAAAAAAAGTTAAAAAAATTAAAATTGTTTATTTTAATATTTGGCTTAAAGGACCATCTCTTTGGAACAACCTCCTCCACTACATTCTACATCTACATTATCAGTACTCAAAAAACATCTGAAATAGACTCTGATTTACAGGATTCATGCACTTCATTGGTTTCTTTGTAACACATCTCACATTTGTACATTTTTCTATCAGTTTTGTTTTGCTGCTTTGTCCTAAACTTGGATCATTTCTGCAATCTTTGTCTTTTTATCTTTATGTGTGATTATTGCTGTTTAATAGGCGAGGCATCTTCATTTTGCATTTTTGTCTTCTAACCTCTCCTGCACAGCTTTTTTCTTCCCTTTACTATCTTCTCTACACACACGTGTGTGCAAATAAAAAAGACAAAAAGTCTGAGCGCAGCTCAGCCACAGTGTGTTAGGATCACATGATATGTCATCTCTGCTTGTGACTTTCCTCAACATGTGCAAAAAGATAAATGATGGAAGCAAACAGTTCATTACATACTGACCTTGGACCGCACGCTATCTTCACAACAATCAAACACAGAAATGTGATGAATGTAATAGCTGTCATAAAGAATCGACGGACAGGAGACAAAAGGAAAAACAACACAGGGTGAAGCTGATAATGTGGAGATGAATACAAAGAACAGAGGCACAGACGGAAGGTAAAGAGCTGGTAAAGCACCAGACAGACTCAGATGAGCTGAAGTAAAGGCAGATGTAGGAGGTGATTGGCCGAGCAGATGATGACACTCACTCTGAGCCGATGAAAAGCCAGTACAGCCAGATCCATGTCAGCAGCAGCATGATGACACTGATGGGCAGGCACAACAGCAGCCAGTTCCCAAAGTTAATGCAGTCACAGTTTGGGTAAATCCTGCATTTAAAGACAGTGTTTGAGGTGGATTTAATTGCATTTCTTAATGCACACAGAAGCTTTGAATTCTTCTGGCTGCTTCTTCTTTAATTTTCCAGCAGACTGAACTAAACAAACATTCTTCACATGAGAGAAAGTTAAATTTCAGTTTTATATTTAGCCAATACCAACTCTGACACAGAGTTTTATTCATTCTGTATGTTTCCTGTTTCTGTCATTCCCTTCCCTTTTTATTCTCTCAGCCTCACACACTCAGCATGTGAGGTGCACCACTCACTGGTTGAGGTACTCGGAGAAGATGAGGTTTGGCGAGGTGCCGGGCAGCGTGGCGATGCCTCCGATGTTGGAGGAGTAGGCGACACTGATGCACATGGCTTTACACACCATCAGGTCCTGTTTACTCCTGCTGGGAACTGCAGGCTCAGGCACAGCAACCTGCAAGGCAACACCAAGGGAGAAATTACCCAACATGAGAACAGTGGTACTATTTTCGTGACTTGTAGTGATAGTTGTATCATTAGTAGTAACTGTGGCATTAGATGGAGAAAGAAAATAAGATTGGTTAGCAGTATTTAGCAGCATCATAACAGGGCTGCCGACTATAATAACATTTCACTGATAGGAGTCGTCGTGGTGTCAGTGGTGAGGGCAGTGGTACAACATTAACAGCAGTGTTATTATTAGTATAATATTTGCGGTAGTAACAGAAGTAGCAGTGGTGGATTCAGGCTGTCTGTGTTGCAGGGGCAGAAAAAGCATCAGCTGCATTTGTTGGTGCATCAGTGTGCAGAAAGTGTTGTAGCATGTGGCACTCAGTGGCAGCTGCTGGTCTTTCAAACAGGGGAAGCTCACTTTAAGTTTACATCATAAACCTTGTCATATGGTAGCGAGGCAGTAACTTATAAAAGGAACATTTAATTGAAGCCGTTTTCAACCACAATCGTGCCATAGAACCACAGCAACATACACCTCAAAGATTTTCAGCAGGGTTTAAACACCTGAGCTGTACAAACGGTGAAAATTAGCGATACGGAAATAAGGAACTCTGGACAGCACTCTGTCAGAAGACTTCACTCGCAAATATCTGCATGGGGCTGAGCTTGAAATGCAAAGCGCTGTCAATCACAAAGGGGTTCAGCCTTTTAGACAATTCCTCCAATCATCATGCAGACACTGAGCGTCCTCTCCCGCCTACCGCTCCATTAGGTCCCAGAGAAGCTGAGCCTCCCTGGAAGTGACGAGTTTGTGGCATTTATCCAATGACCATCTCGCTATGCTGCATGAAAAAAACCTGCTCAGCGCTGTCTCATAGGAATGCTTGGAGGTTCCGCGTCCACCGTGCTGATATGAGAATGTATGACAGGGAGGTCGCGTTTGAAAACTGGTGATAAACAGCTGACATTTGAACATCATAGTCGTGATGTTAAACGCATCCTAGCGCACGTTTAATGCAATTGAAATTCTTATTTTAATGTAAATTCAATAGTGCATATGTGACCATTTCTTCCATGAAATTTTATGGGAAAGTTCAGCCTCCCTTGTCACAGAGCAATTGCCCCTGGTGGCACTGTGTCATGTTTTGCAACAAATTCTCATCTAACTCATCAAATACCACTGATGTGATGCGCTAGCTACCCTCCTGCATCAGTCTGGTAGTTCAGGGACGGCTTGTCAATTTTTGCCTTTTACATGCATTGTGTCTTTTCAAAATAAACTTCCATTTTCACAGGAAATGTAAAGTTTCTGCTCTTTAAATGCATACAAGTTTTTTTTTCCCCAAACAAACTTACAACGTAGCTAACACACTTTGTTTTTAGGTTTACTTCCTCAGGGTTAGGAAACAAAAGCACGTGGTTGTGTGCTCAAATGTGCTCATTGCTAAGCTGTCTCGGTTTAATTTTTCCCTCAGTGCTTTAAAATGGTTTAAATCCTACCTGGAAGGCAGAACACAATCCGTCAGAATTAAGGGTAAACTATCACCTTATCTAAAAAACGAAGTGGGGGTACCCCAGGGATCAATTCTGGGTCCTCTACTGTTTAGTCTGTATATTAGTGATTTGTCTTCTGTCTGTACCGGTTCTGAAATTCAAATGTATGCAGACGATACAGTAATCTACAGTCAGGTCCATAATTATTTGGACAATGATACAGTTGTCGTCATTTTGGCTCTGCACACCACCACAATGGGTTTTAAATGAAACAATGAATACCTGCTTAAAGTGCAGACTCTCAGCTTTCATTTAAGGCTTTTTTCAAAAATGTAGTATGAACCGTGTAGGAATGACAACCATTTCTTCACACAGTCCCCCGACTTTAAGGGCTCATAAGTATTTGGACAAACTAACATAATCATCAATTAAACAGTCAGTTTTAATACTTGGTTGCAAATCCTTTACAGTCAATGACTGCCT